GCCCGATCCTGGAAACTCTTTTCCATGCCCCCCCCCCTACTCGTCTGGAGCCGTCCTAGGAAACTGTTTGGAAACTCGTTGCCAACAATTTCCAGACCGCGAGCCGAGTAGAAACGCCCCGTCAGCTTTTCCACGACCTCTTTCCAACCGCAGTGGGGTCTGAAATTCCTTTCCGGGCCGACTTTCCACGACGGTTTCCAACACCTGTGGGGTCTGAAAAACACTTCCTCGCCAAAACTTTTCCACGCCGCCGGCCAGTGGGATCCAAGCCTCAGTCGAATGAGATTGAACCGACGGCGCTGCCACTTCGTGGCCTTGGACATGTAAGAGTCGTACAAAAAAGTTGAAAAAACCCAATTGTCTCGGTATTTCTGACGGTGAAAACCAAACCAAGTTTGATTCTCAGGGAAGTACTTTTTTCATGCTTGATTCTTCGTCGAGCCCAGGTAGGGTGTCTACGAAAAACCCATGCACGAAGTTGTTGTGTTTTTTTTTTGGGCGCGCAGCGGCGCAGGGCAATCTTTGGCTCGACATCGATAGCTGAGAAAAGTGGAAAGGTACTGGTGGTTTAAACCACCCCTCCCCCCGCCAGCCTAAAGTCGGTTTTCCGGGGATTTAGGGCCGTGAACGGCGCGGGGTCGGCGACCACAAACGGAAAAAAAAAAAAAAAAGTGGGAGGGAAGGAATGATATGCTCCAAAACCGTAATCGCCATCGAAAGGGGGGGGAAGGAATGGTGCTGCAAAACCTGAATCGCCATCGAAAGCAGTTCTTGACCAAAAGCCGCCACTCGTAAAGGAGTCGATAGGTCGCGCCACGAAGCTCTCTTTTTTGCTATTGCGCGATCTCCCCTTCCCGCAGAAGACATCCAATTTCTTTGTGTTTGCTTTGCCTGTCTTGTTTCATCTTCATGCATGTGATGGCTGCGCGCACATGTACCACGTGAAGGAAAGCCGTCACACACAGCAGACAAGCGCTTAAGATGTCAACATCATCGTCATCGTTCTTTTCCCTTTTTTTTTTTTTCCCTCTAGTGCTCGATAAAGTTGATATTGAATACTAAAATAGTAAAAAAATACTGTAATTTGGTGTTCATCCATTTATTAAATTCTCTTTATAATTTTGGTTAGGGGAAACTACGCAGGAGTCACCCAGCTTTCTGGTCAGGTAGGGTGCCCGAAATGCAATTGCAAAATGTATCTTGTGCAGACGGACCGGACGAGCGTCCGGTCCGGTCCACTTCGCCGCGTGCGGCACCCTCCCCCCGGACCGGACGGGGCCGTTTTTTTTTTTTTTTTGGGGGGGGGGGGGGGGGGSGTAACTGGTCGTCGGGTGCACATTCATGCGCCATGTGGGTCCGGTCCGGCAGTCCGCCGCACGTGCGGAACCGCCCGGCCGGCGTCCGCTTGCAAGTATGATCTTGCCCCAACTTGCAAGTATGATCTTGCCCCATAGTGCAATTTTATAACTCGTTTTTGTGCCTCCCGCGTAGTTTCCCCTTTTGGCTATTTTACACTGCTGGCGCCAATTAAAATGGGTGGGAAAAAGAAAAAAAGGGTGCCCCACATGGCCAACTTCTCATTCACTTGTCCCACTTTTTTCAATCACTTTCTTTTTTTTTTTTTTTTTTTTTTGGTAACCCCCCTCAGAAGACCCCCCTTCACCCTTCCTCTGATCAACTACCCCAGCGCAACCCCACCCCCTCCGTCCTACCTCAGTGTGGACCACCACCCAGGACCCTCACCCATTGCCAACTCGGCTAATAAGACTCCTCATATGCCCCTTGGACCGTAAACCCAGGAAAAACACAGGGACCAAATCGCAAAGTTCCGTTCAGGTTTAGAGCCCTAAATGCAGGCAGGTCCAGACGCAAGGCTGGCCTTCCATCCGGCCGGCAAACATGGATCCCTTTAGGCAAATGCTGTCAAAATGTGGGTTACGAGTTAGACCATATTCACTACACTAGGACTTTCTGAACTGAATATGCCCTCAACTGCAGCCGGATTCATTAAGAAAAGTGTATGACTGTGCTTATGCCCTCAACGAGCGGGCGAGCGAGCGCTACCAGAAGTGGGTCTGCTTGGCAAATATTATCACAATGAGGCTGCAAATGCATGTAACTGCTAGGCTGTTTACCTGAGCGCACGGCCGGTCCATATGCCCCTGGAAGGGCACCTGGCCGCCCAGCTGTGCAGGTTGCCTGGTCAGGGTGCCAAGTGCCATTTGAGCAATTTCATCCCGGGTCTTTAGCGACCCGGTCTGCACACGTGGTTAACCAGGGCCCGTTTTTTTTTGTTTTTTTTTTTTTGGGTCAAATTTTGCACTGAAACTGTCACATTGGGCAGATTTTTGGCGTTTTTTTCTTTTTTTTCGTTTTTCTTTTTGTGTGACATGTAGGTGCTTTAGGGTGTGTCCGGCATCCAATTTTGATATTTTTGCACTGATAGAGAAAAAGTTAGCATTTCATTGAAATCGTTGAATGCTTCGGTTTAACTCGGAAAGCGTTTTTGTGCTTTTTTTTTTTGTTGCTTTTTTTTTTGCCTCTTTCTTTTTTTTTTTTTTTAATCTTGTGCCCATATCGTTTGTTTTTGAAGTTCCCCACTGTGTTGCTCCATAAACCATCTGTCCCAGTCAGTGGCCTGGTGGACTCGGCACGGTCTCAAGAGCCACACAGCACGAATGCCCGTTGCCCCTTTTCTTTCCCACCTTTCTTTTTCCACTCATTCTGTGGATCAAAATTTGTTGCCATCACAAAAAAAAATATGAGTGCACTGGGAGCTTCATTGCCACTTGTGGCATCGTTTAAGTCGTCTTGTGATGTCAGGAGAAGGCACAGTAGGGGTGTGTGTGTGTGTGTGTGTGTGTGTGTGTGTGTGTGTGTGTGTGTTACATACTATGTCACACGGGCCCGGAGGGGTTCGGAGGCCGGACCTTTAGACCGGTAGTGCCATTTGCAGGCCCACCAGTTGGCCTTTAGGCCACATTGAGGACCAGACCAGACGGGCAGGCCCAAACGACGTTACCATTGGGCCTGGCGGCGCTCTTGAGGCTGCCGCCCGCCGGTCTGATCTGAATCGTCACTTTTGACGATTCAGATCACGGCTCGGCCTCGCAGCATAGAGGCCGGCCTTTCCACATCGGTACTTAGGTACCGGAGGCCGCCTGTTCGGCATTCAGGGAGCAACAGCAGTTCGGGAAAACGCTGCGCTATTCTGTTTAGAGCGCAGCGCTACGGCAGTAGCGCGAGGTTAGCGCTAGACTGCAGTTCGGGATAGAGAGCAGCGAGGGACTTACCTGGTACTTACCTGGTACTTACCTGGTACTTACCTGGTACTTACCTGTGGCGCCATAGCTTCCGCGGGCTTCAACTGCAGAAGGCTCCAAGGCACCACCTTGCACCTTGCAGGTAGGGTTTCGGACCAGGACAGGGTAACGAGGACACTCCTCCTCCCTACGTCGCCATCTCTCCATCCTCCTCTGTTATCTCCTCCTCTTCTTCTTCTTCTTCTTCTTCTTCTTCTTCTTCTTCTTCTTCTTCTTCAGACTTTTTCTTCTTCTTCTTCAGACTTCTTCTTCTTCTTCTTCTTCAGACTGGAGACTTGATACGAGTTGGACAGAGATCAGTGTTGGACTTCGGTGGTAAGAGGCTGTGATACTTACCGGATTCGAGACTTGGAGATTGTTGGGATTGATACTCGGCGGCATCCCAGATTGGACACCGGTTACATTAGGACTTTGTACCTCCGACATTGGTGACTTATTGTCCACGACATTTTGATCTTGTTCGATGACATTTTGGACTACCATATCGGTGACCTACTGGATTCTATCTCGGTGACATCTGGCACTGCCTACATCTCCCACCTCCTTCATCTCTCCTCCCACCTTTCATCTGTGTATGGTTGTACGGGGCCTGAGCATCGTCTATGATTGGCTCAGACCCCACCATCTCACGATTGTTTGTGTGTTGATTGATATCTGTGTGAGTTCAGTCTATGCGAGTCAGTCCATTTATCAGACTTCCGCTGCATACATGCTCATCCTATATTGGTTGATCTTTGGTTCTGCCCATACTTGTTGAAGCATTCACGAGTATGCAACAGTGTGTGTGTGTGTGTGTGTGTGTGTGTGTGTGTGTGTGTGTGTGTGTGTG